TAACATGAAAGTAAGTTCCAGCTAAATTCTATCAAATCTGTATTGTTACTATTGGTTTTCTATAAATTTCTGCAAGTTCTTAGTTCAGTGATATATACATTTTTCCACGTGCACGCTTAGCTTGGTGTTGAGATGTGTATCAGTGGACAGCTCGGAAATTCCAAGAGGACAAAGTTGCCGGCTGACGATGGCAAAGACCCTCGGCTGGGCCAGGAATAAAGAAGGAGAACTTCAGTCAAAAGGCATGACAGATGCGGAGATAGCAGCTCCAGCCACAGCCACTACGTGTTGGCTCCTCACCGACAGATTCCGCACAGTTGAACCATGAAAATGCTGCCAATTGCGCACAGGTAGAAATTTTCAAGGGGGCCAAGTGGTAGAAATGGTTGAAATGGCAGCTGTGAAAACGTTTCTCGGCTACTTTTCGCTGCAATCGAGGGAGACGGTGGAGTGCAGCAAGTGATTGGTTGGAATCTGGGAGAGATGCGTATAAATTATATTGCTCGTCCACGATTTTCCACTTTTATCCCCGTGGCACGGGAATGAAAAGCTCTGCACTGCAATTTATTGCCACCATTTACACCCGGTTTCCAACTGAATCCGAACTATTTCGTGTGACGCACACTGTGATTGCGTTTAAATCAATGAAATGCGCATAAATTAATTAAGGCAGAGCGAAATTCGAAATCGAACGTAAAGAAACCCCATTTGTTGTATTTATAAATGTTTAACTTCCTATGGCTACAAATTAACCGCACAAAAACATTTACCTTTAATTAAGCCGCAAACTGGTATTTTGGCCAGCAATTTGCTATCGATTTTCAGTGTTTGTTTACTTGGCCAAGCGAACGAAATCTATGCAAATTCGTTTGGCAACTTAATTATGCCAAGAACGGGTTGATTCCGCCGTAATTGATTACGACATCTGCCGGCTGGCCAGGAACTCCCGCATCATAGATATGACTTGGTCAAGATTAATGTTACCAATTTGTCCACTTCCCCAAGCCGCATGTCGATCTCTAAGACGCTGTTTAGATTTTTCTAAAATTTATTTGGTAGCCGTTTGCATTGAACCCGGCTTGAAGAGGTTAAGTCCAAAGATGTTTTTCTTCTTATTATTTTTTGCCATTGATGGAGCCGTTCAACTTTTGCTTTTAACTGGAATTCGGCTTGGGGATTTGATTGATGGCTGACGAGTTCTGCGAGTGGGTGATGATGATCTGCTCAAGAGATCTCAATTATTTCCAATTCCCCCGGTTCGCAGTTCTTAAATTTTCAGCGCTGTTTTTGATGCGATTCTAATTGCGACTAAATTACATATCATATATCATCGCATAGGCATAAACACTTCGTGGAAGTATATAATTTATGCTAATTCCCAGCGAAGCATCAAAATAGAACCGAAATAGCACCTCTTATATTCAAATTCAGTTCCCAAATAGATGTAGCCCCTTTAAAAAATTATCGCACGCCCCTTCCTCATTTATCAGCATCTTTAAGATGGGGGCCACACGTGTGATTTTTAAGTAGGATACCTATTCTCTGCGTATTTTAAATCTGAGGCTTAAAACCCGAAGTGCCGATGAGCTTATCTCCAACCTCGAATGTTTGGACAAGGTTACGAGAAAGGGTCGGATTAGTTCTAGAGACGGATTCAACTTTTCAAAGTTTAAAAACCCAATTTTTATACTTTATGGGTCTAAGCTGATTCATCTGATTGATTCATTTGTCTTTTTATTTTATTTTTAACTTTTTATATGACTCCGTTTCCCCGAAACTTGTTGATACGATCCAATTAAAATCACATTTTGATGTCGTAATGCCTAAACTGAAATTACTGGCGCCGCGCCCAAGTTCAAGATCAAGGTCTTACGATTTCCCCTTCATCATTTTCCGCGACATTTGAATGTCGTCTGGGCTCCCACAGTCAACTGCATTGGAAGTGGGTCATAAATCAGTCAAATTCCGCCCACTCGCAGACATTTTCCCTGCGCCTATTTGTGTGTGGGTGCCGTCTGTCTTTTTATTAGCCACTTAAACGAATGTCGAGTTGTAATAATGTTGACAGAATCGTGGATCGGCGGTGTCTTGAAGGTCTGTATCTACCGGGAACTCTCGCGTCATCGGGTCGAGCAAACAAACCAGAAAGCAGGTAAACAAACTGCAGAGACAGCAGTTACAGCCACTGAACCTTACCAAGATCGGTACACGGAAAAAATATTGTGATTATTGGGAAATCTTGTAGAAAATATTTTTTGATCATATTATTAGCATTATTTAAAAAGATTAGAGATTAGATTACTTTCTTAGGTTCCTCAGATTGAAGCATTTCGTGCTCTTTTTATTATTTTGAAATAAAATAAATTGAGATCGTTAGTCAAAAATAATCTTAAAATCCATATTTAATATCAACCAATCAATATCAATTATTTTAGAAGAGACAAGAGTAAATAGCGTTTTAAAAATATTAGACAAATTTGCACACACATTATTTTTATTCAAGATCTTACTTTATTCCTGAGATCATACGTATTTTAATATTCTGAGCATTTAGTTAATGAAGTCTATAAATATAATTATTTTTTCAATACATTAAAGTAAGATTTAACTTTTAAATGCTTTTAGCTGAGATCATTTTTAATTATTACATTCGTTTCGAATTTAATATAGGTAAGACTATTAGACAGGACCCGCCTACATGTCATAAAATATAAGCTAAGAGCTGCTGTAATATTAATAAAATAATTTTTCTGTGTGCGGGCCCGATAATGAATGTCAAGTCGTCACCGTTGAGGAATTCGTTGTCGATTGCCGTTGGCCAAGAAAAGCCAAGAGGCACAAGCCACCGGTGGCTTTGGGCCAAGTCGGCGAAACCCAACAACTCCGGCTTGTCTGGCGAAGCTGTCAATCCAGTTGGCCCGCGTGTGTTTACTTCTTTAACTCTTTTCCTTTCTTTCCCCCCTTTAATTTGTTTGCTTTCGTGGGCATGAATTATTTTACAGGAATTATATATGATTAGCCGTGTGCATACGTGTGCGCCGGTCTTTGGGGGAAATGAAAGGGGCGGCGTCGAATTAGCCGCACGCTTAAATGGCTCAATTAAAATGACACAATCTAGCCCATAATTTGCTCAAAGAGTGCAATTGAAGCCGGTATTCCATCGCTAAAAGCTTTAAGTGATGGATCATTTAATTAAGTCTGGTGGAATGTCAAAGGTGAAAGACATGTTACCGGCGAACTTGCAGAGAAGGCCTAACTTTTAATTACATTTCGGTTTATCATTGGATCTTCTGTACTTTCACTTTTAGTTCAGTTTGAAAGCGAAATCTGATTTTGCCTTGGAAAATTCGATTTTTACCGGATTTCAGAGGGAATTTTTTACATTTTTGCTTGTTTATTCAATATTTACAATTTAACATTTTTAGTAAGCTGAACAACAGTATGAAAATTTGACTTAGAACTATTGCAAATGATATTCTGATGCCAATGCTAATTTTATAACCTTAGGGAAGTAAATTGTTTTAAAGGGCCAAGTTTCTAATCTCATCTCACACATATAACACTACACAAATTGTTTAAGCCAAAACTATGACCCCTAAGTGGCAGTAGTGCCAAGAATAACCCATCACAGACCCTCTGAAACAGTTAGCGGATTAACCCGCGGCATTTCGTGTCATTTACATGGGAAAGTGGGTCACTGCAGCCGGTACGGCACACACACAATTCACACACTCGGAGGCACTCGGTGTGTCAACAAATTGAAAATAGAATGCAATAACAAGCCCCAGTGGCAGTGACAGCTACAGTGACGGCTTTTGACCAGGCTGTCTGCCACTTGACGAGGTGGTTAAAGTTATGAAAGTGCTAATTGAAACGCCACACAATGACCGGCCAAATGAGCCACTCGCTGAGTGGACACTGGCTAACCAAACCAAAGAGATGATGACCAGTTTCGTGGCCAAAAGCTGTTTATGAATGGGGGCCAATAAATAAAATAAATCTGTTCGAATACCTTCCCGTCGGCTCAATTTGTCTTGGTTGGTGTGGAGGCGTTTGTGTGTCCATCGATCAACGGAAACACTTGTTAGAGGCTGCTCCTCCGGAATATATTTGCATAAAACAAACATTTGCTGAAATAAAATTATGATAAGCAGACGAGTTGAGAGATTAACGAATGTTCATCGTTTGTTTTCGTTCCATTTCCCCTTTTTCCAGCCCGTCATCCGGTTGAGCGATGTAAGAAGTGGCCAGAACGAATAAAGTACAGAGCAACCAGAGATTTATCTTAGCCAGGAAGAACAGAAACAAATCCCCCGCATCATCAACCGTCAAGAAGCAGGCATCAGGATGAGTGGCAGCCATAAAATGTGGTGCTGTCAAGTATTTATCTTAGCTTTATGTGAGTGGTTGCACATGCAGCTCCCGCGATGATTTATTGAACATGATTTGTATGCCCCCCAGTTGCCCACACAATTTCGGCGGAGTTCCATATCAGCGCAGCTCAGGCCGGCGTCAGCTTCGATGGACCCTCGCCGGCCCAAAGTCCGGCTGCAGTGACTCCAACTTCCAGGCCAAAGCGTCGCGTATACGCCCTGTGCCCGCCACAGTTCCATCGCGTGGGTACCGATTGCTACTCGCTGGTGGAGCAGCGCAGCAGCTGGCTGGAGGCACACTTCTTCTGCAAAGATAAGAACGCCAATCTCACGGAGCCAGGCAAGCACGCTGACCGCAAGCTGAGACAGTTCCTCCAAAAACAGGATGCCCTATCAGGCGGTGAGTAAATCCTTCCAATTTAAATATCTTCCTAAAGGTTGTTTACCTATATCTCCATTTAAATAATAACCTAACTTAATCCTACTTCTAACCTTTAGAAAAAGATCCCATTTGGCTGGGAGCAACCTATGACCACCACAACAACCAATGGCAGTGGAGCATGAGCGGACGCAGTCTGACCACCGACTCCTTCAGCCGCACCGATCCCGCGTAAGTGATCTATTCAATGCTCTTTCCTTTCCTCCTTTATTTCCGTAGATTGATTTAACGCTTAAGCAACAATTCTAGCTATGTGCAACTTGTCTCCAACAGCCAACCATTGGATAATAACTGTGCCATCTACGATCCGAATCTCAAGTACCGCTGGTCGGCGCGTCCCTGCTCGGATAAGTTGCGCTTCATCTGCCAGCACAAGATGCCCAAGGTGAGCGGACCGAATCGCTTCAAGATCTACAACCGCTGGAACGCCACTTATCCGAACCAGTTGGCCAACGAGGTGGTGCTGGAGATTCTGGAACCGCGTGAGAATGATCGCAGGTAAGTCACAACTAAGGGGTGGCATCTCCTGGCAGCAGCTGGCTTTCCGGGGAGTTGTCATCTTGCTCCTCCTGCTTTTCCTCCTCCTCAGCTGCTTTCTTATCGGCCTCTTCTTGGGCCAAGAACTCATCCCACTTCGAGAGGCGCTCACTAGCCTCCACGGCGGACTCATCAATTCTATGGGATATTAAAGAATAAGCACCTGATTTTGAATTTACCATGGTTCAAAACTTACTTGTATTTGGTCTTGCCATCCCAGGACTCGGCACTTAGCTGTCGCTGGCCAAAATAGCGTCCCTGCATCATTTGAATGACCTGGTCGGCTTCCTCCGGCGAGGACATGTTGATCTGGGCAACGCCCTCAGGATGGCGCTGAAAATGTGATCTCTGTTAGAAGCTGATTCTTGAAATACCTGTGCTTTCTTACATCATAGATGACCACTTTGCGAACCATCCCGCACTTGCTGCATTCTTCGCGCAGATTGTTCTGGTACTCCAAGATGAGCTCCACCTCCTTTTCAAAGAGCTCGGGGGTAAAAAGGTTCTTGATAATGACTGTTTTCTCATTCTTTGAGCGCTCGCCATGCATTTTATCTGGACGCCAGTCAAATAATCTAGAAGTAGGAATGTAAAATGTTAGAATATAGACCGATTCCATGTCCAATCTGGATTCCTTACTTCTCCTTCATCTTCTGCAACTTCTCCTTGTCCTTCTTCTTTCGCTTGGGTTTCAAAGCGGGATTGTACTCTCCACGCATTTGGAACTGAGCTCTCTGGACGCGAATTTTGTGTCCCCGCAGGTTATACTCGTCCAGGATTTTCAGCGCCAGATTTACACTCTCCACCTGAAAAAAAAATAGAACAAACTAATTAATTTTTGTCTTTTTCGCCAGATTCCACCGCCGTGTTAAGGCCGAGGGCAGTGACGAGGAGATGATCATCCCCAACCGACGGCGCAATAATAATCGCCGCAACAACCAAAGGAACCGCCCGATCCAAAACCAGAATCAGCATCCCAACGATGTGAACTACCAGCCGTCGGAGCAGCGTCAGAGGAATCGTCCTCGTGCCTCCACCGTGGCGCCACCAACCACGCAATCGGTTAACCCATCCAATGATGTCCTGGCTGCCTCACCCACGCCCCAACAGATGACCCAGTATGATCGCAAGTTGCAACGCCAGCGGGAGAGGGAACGTCGCCGCCAGTTGCGTCGCCAGGAGCGCCAGAAGTTGGCAAGGAAGCAAAAGCAGGAGAAGCAACGCCGCCAAAAGGAGGAGCGACAGCGATTGCAGCGGGAGGAGCAGCAGCGCCGCCAGCGATTGCAGCATGATGAGCCCAAGCCCCAGGAGATCGATGAACTGCGTCAGCGTTCTGAAGAGGAGCATGAAAAGAAGCAAAGGGCTGAGCAGGAAAGGAAACTAAGGGTCGAGCACGAAAAGAAGCAGAGGGAGGACCAGGAAAGGAAACAAAAGGAGGACCAAGAAAAGCAGCAGAGGGATGAGCAGGAGAGGATCAGGCAGGCGGAGGAGGAGCAGCAGGCCAGAAGCCACCAACAGCAGCTCCACGAGAACCAGCAGCAGCAGCTCCGCGAACTCAAGGCCAAGCAGCAGCGCCAGGAACAGGAGCAGGAATACCAGCAGCAGAAGCGCGATCGCGAACTGGAGATCCTGAAGCAACGCCAGTTGGAAACCGATCGCCAGCATGCCGCCGAAGAGGAAGCGGAGAAGCTTCGCCTAGAGCGCATCCAGAAACAACGCGAACTGGAGGCAGAACAGCGAAGGGAACGCGAAGAGCAGCGTCGCAAGCAGCGCGAGGAGCAGGAGGAACTGGATCGCCAGAATCATGCCAAGCGTTTGGCCGAGGAAAAGCGCATGCAGGAGCTGTACGCCGAGCGACTCAAACAGGCCAATACGGAGCGGGAGAAGCAGCTGGCCCAGGCCCACGAGGCCAAACGTCTCGAGGAACTGAAGCTGCAGGAGCAGCTGAAGAAGCAGGAGGACGAGCGCCAGGAGCAGATCCGTCGCGAACAGGAGGAGGAGGAGAAGCGCCAGGAACTGCAGAGGCTCGAAGAAGCACGACGCTTCGAGGAGAAGGAGCTGAAGCGCCTGCACGAGGACAACCTACGGCGCGAGCAGCAGAAGCTTCAGCGCGAGCAGGAAATAGCACTCCGCAAGGCCGCCGAACAGAAGCTGGCCGAGGAGGAGGAGATCCTGCGCAAGGAGCTGAGCGAGGAGGAGCGGGCGGTGAAGCAGCGCCTGGAGGACGAAATGCGCCAGGAGGAGGAGTCGCGCAAGGCCAAGGAGGCGGAGGAGCGGGCTGCCGAGGAGGCCAAGGCCGCCGAGCAGAAGCGACGCCTGGAGGCGGCCAAGAAGCAGGCCGACGAGGAGGTCAAGGCCAAGCTGGAGGAGAAGCGGCGCGAGTACGCCAGTCGAATCTCGGCGCTGAGTCCCGAGGACCAGAGGAAGTTCATCGAGATGCGCAAGCGGCGCAAGCAGCTCAAGGAGAAGAAGGAGCGTGACCAGAGAGCGAAGGAGCTCAAGCGGATACAGCAGGCCATGCGGTTGGACGATAACGAGTAGGAGCCCAGAGAAGTCCAGTCGGCAGGATCACCAACCCCCAACTAACCAATACTAACCGAGACATATCGATCAAATTGGTTCCACATACGCACCGTTGCCCAGTCGATCCCTTTTCGATGGTTTTCTTTGTGCTTTAACTAAAAACAAAACACAAGATGAACACGCAAAAGTATTATTTACCAGAAGAGAGATGATATAAGCAGGAGCATCGCTGCGATTTAGGGGGAATCAAATTTCAATTGCATTTCGATCGAGCAGGAAACCCAATCTCCATGCACTTCGCTAGCTCTTTTAGTACTGTACAGTAAAGATATTCTATATATAGGTCTAGGATATAGACACACCACACACACACTCAGCACACACACACGGCAACCAGTCACGCATGTTTCCTTAATAACCGAACTAGAAGTTAGCAATCAATTTTAGAGCCAATAACCCCATCACACGCAAATCACGGGAATTTTTAAACTCAGCACAGAACCACGGCATAATTATAGTGAAGAAAACGTAAGATTGAATGGAGAACTCCTTGGGGTCAGAGTCCAAATCCCATGCCTCCCCGCACTCGGTTTGCCTGAGGTGTCCTCGGATCGGGCACAGCGAAGCAATAATTTACTAATAATAATCTTTTGATAACATCATCGGATGGTCACCGACCATTTCCTAAATTCCTAGGTTACACAACTATACTTTACAAAGATATGTATGTAATAACTAAAGTATGTTTAAATGTAAATTTTTATGTATTTTTTAATACCTCAAAGGCGAAATGCAAAGAAAAATAATGGAGAAAATGAAAATGGAAAACCCCGAAGGCAACTTTCAGTACGTTTTGTTTCGTTTAAAATGGAAATTGAAAGCTGGCAAGGACGGGCATGAAATCGAAAGGGAAAGCAATTTTATAGCCAAGTAAATGCATTTTAATAGTAAACTAACCAATTTTAAATATTATTAATCTACACACGGAGAAATGAAAAGCGAATAAAACTAAATAGTCAGCGAGAAACGTAAGCAAAGAAATCATGAGAAAGGCAAGCAGAACACAAATGAAATACGAAAACATATGATAAAATTACCATATAATATTTATGCAAGATAAATTCTAGTTAAGAGGCAAACAAAGTAAATTAATGAATAAAGTTTGAAAAAACACAAAACAAAGAAAGGAAATATGTTGTTTTTAATGTCCACCCACCTTGATGTAATCGCAGAGGCCATCGCCCTTGATCTGGCCATCTTTTTCGGCATACAGTTTCAGCTTGAACTTCTGGGTCTGGGGATCCCGCATGACCATGCCGCACTTGCCCATCAGGTCGGCAAACTCATCCATGGTGATGTCCAGGGGCAAATTGGAGACGTACACCTTGGTGTTCTGCGAGGGATCCATTTCGAACCATTCTGAAAGGATGTACCATTAGAATAATAAGAAAAGGGCACAACATTCTATATCCTGCTCACTTGGTGGCTCTTGGACCTTTCGCTTGCCGGTGGGTGCTGCTGTGGATGCCGCGTTATCCCTGGACATGGCTGCCTCCGCCTCGGCCGTCATCCGCTTGAGTTCCTCATCCTTTCTCTTGGCCTCGGCCGCCTCCTTTTCAGCCTTCTCCTTCTCCCCCGCCGACGTGTTGTCAATGAATCCATAGTTCATTTGGTAGCGGGCCATAAAATCATCATCGATCTTGGGGAACCAGGCGCTCTTTTCGGCATCCCAAAAGAACTCGACCCCATCCTTGTCCGTATAAGTGCGCTCGCCCTGCTCATCTACTCCATAGACTCCCTCCTGTCCGGGATTCGGCTGCTTGGGTATCCACTTTTTCTGCTCATCATCCCACTTGTAGTGCTCCGTTTCGGTTTCCTGTTTCTTGGGCAACCACTGCTCCGTCTTGGGGCACCATTTGTAGTGCTCGTTCTCGTAGAGATCACCTGCACTGGCCGCCTCATCGGCGCTCAGGGGTTGCCAATTGTTTTGCGTAGTGCACCATTTGTATTTTTGCTTGGTGCTGGGATCCGTATAGATGGCTCCACCATCCGATGCATAGGTCATGTGCTCCTCGTAGGCGGCAAAGTCCTGCGATGGCGTGTTCTCCTCCGCTTTGGCTACCTGATTATCCGATTGGGTTTCACTTTCCACTGGCTTTTCATCAACTTTTGATTCCGAAATGCTTTGCTCTTCTATTTTCTCCTCACTTTCCTCCTCCGCTTCAGGTTTCGCCGCCTGCTCCGGTTTACTTTCACCTTCGTCACTCATTTTCGGGTTCTGTAATTAAAGCAAGCCGAGAAGTAGACTACATTTAGTTTCTTCCTTTCCTTTACTGCTGCGTGGGCGTGACAGTCGTCTAATTCCCAGCTAATTTCATATTTTTTTCCCTGGCCAACAAATAATCACCACGTGAAAAAAACAAAACTAAATTGCAGGAACGTGCCCATATCGCTTGACATTGAAGCAGAAGGCTTCGGAAGGAAAACCAAGGGTGAGGAATGAGAGAGCATTCCGAGAAGCAGCCCCCGGGAAAATAACAAGTTTTCCTTTTTGCACCTTTGGCCAGGCGAGGTAAACAATTTACACAATGATTGCCATTTTTCCACCCGCACATACATACATTCCTAAAGGTGTGTGTGGGTCAAGCTTTGAGGCAGGTAATAAAATGAAATGAAAAGCGCACGCCACTTTCTGGGCGGTCCAAGAAAAGACCAACACAAATCCCCAGGAAGAACACAAATACAGAAGGGGCGAAAAAAAGGATTTGGATACCACCTACTGCCACCAAATGCTCTGAAGGTCAACTAATTTCGTGTTATTTTTGGAGAAGGGAACCCTTCGAATCGATTCCTTTGAACTGGCCAAACGGCAGGTTCAATCAACCTTTAGCCCGGCCAAGTACAATTCGGAAGCCAAATAGATTTGTCAACCTATTGACACATCGCTTGAGAGTTCCGGCAGCTGACCCGCGGCGGGTTCTTGACCGATTCCCCTTACGTCATCCGGTTAACATCTTAACTTCAACCAATCGAAGTGGGTTCAATGGACTCGGGCGGCTAATTGTCACAACCTAAGGCCACTAAAAATAGGCGCAAAAACCACAGAGGTCCCGAGTTCAACGCTCAGCAAGTGGGCAGCATTTGCATGCACTCGCACAAGATTCGCCTTTGGCCAAGTCAGCGGATGAGGGCGTAACCACCAGGGGAATCCCTCCTGCCCACCTGGCAAACTGGCACATGCAACAGACCATGCCCACTCAACTCACCAGGGAAAACCTGAAAGGGACAAGGGGGCAATTGCAGTTTGCAGGCCAAACAACTTTGTTAGGGGATTCATAAATTACATAGACATTCGAGTACATACTCGAAAGGCTCACGGCTTCCGCATGAATAGGCCAAAGTGCTGGCATATAATATGGAAAGTTTAGACTCCAAACTGGGGCTACACATTGCAATGCAGAATAGAACACAGAACCCAATGAAAGAAACAGAAAAACGAACGCTAACAGTCGGGATTGTCTAAGGCGAATTTTTGGTTATTTTATCAGATGTTATTTTAGTATCCCTATCCCAAAAGTTCTAGACTTTTAAGTTGATTTCTTAAAATACTATAAATATATAAATAATACATAATAGCTATTATGAGTTACCAAACTATTGTTGGAATTGCTCTAACGGCTCACATTTTCCAATTGTTATGAAATAATATTTAAAGTTTTGTAACACTTTCTACCTCATATAAGTAGACAACACAACACTTTTGGATTTGGTTTGTTTTTTTGTATATAAATACATATGTTAAGGATAGTCCATTCTGGACTAGAACTGCAATGCCAGGCAATTATTTTCCCTTTCTCTGGACACCTTTGGCCTTTCCCAGACGACTGGCAACGCGCTTATTGCATAACTAAGTACGGGAATCAAATGAAACCCTCTTCGGATTCCGCCAGAAATCAATTAATTGACGCAAATTGTCTGCGAAAGTCTGCAAATGTGGGACGGACTACTGACTAGTTGGCCCTGTTTTATGACGGCGCCTTAGAGGTCATAAAATCGTCGGCCAATTTCGGCAAAGCGGCGTTATTCCCCCCCATTACCAAAAACCGGATAAAAACGGCCGAAAACGAATTAATTAACTTGGCAGAAATGTCGCGAATTCGCAGGACACTCGTCCTTTCCCAAATGTCAACAGGTCAGGGGGGAAAAAGAGGGAGTTCTTAGGAAACCGGGACGTACATATGCGCAATGAAAGGGAAAAGCTCGGAAAACGCCCCACTCACATATATAATAATGTTATTTTTAACGTGGCTCGTATTCCGAGAGATTTGCAAACATTACTCACAAATGCCATAAATACCATGGAGGCGGAGTGGGTGGGTGAAACGAAACTCCAGGCCGAAAAAACCGAATTCCCATACTCGCTCTTTGGCGCACGGAATAACTTAACTCGGAAAAACGGACGGAGTAGGGTGACTCACTCTGCAGTTGTGGAAAACTCACTCGCTCACATTTCCGTAGCACACTTATAAGGGCCAGGCCAAAATGGCCCAATATTGATGGCCCATTTTGTGGGTGGTGAGAGTGAACTACTGGCTAGTGGCTAGCCAGTTAGCCCGCTAGCCTGCTAGCCCTGCCAGTCCTCGCTGACCAGTACGCGCTGAATCGTCCGACTGACCGCAAGTGCCGGCCAGAACCAGAATAGCCACGGAAATAGACGCCTCGGGGAATCGGGATTTGGGAGCACGCAACTCCAAATGGCTTTGTTGTGTACATACACATGTGCGCCTAGGGGCATTTGAAATGCAGCCGGCGAAAAATATGCAAAACTCACTACTCACTAATACTAAAATCAATAAAAATAAACCATAAAGTTTAAAACGCAAAAAGAGAGACATACTACATAGACAGCAAACTCGAAATGGATATACCTGCCAGTGGAGCCATATTCACCCTGGGCAAATCCCATCTGGCGGAGAATACCCAAAGCTATTTCTACATCAAGAACGATCCTGTGAAGCGCCTGATTTCCGGTCCCAACCAGAGCGCTGTCATTTGTGGTAACTAGATGACCCCAAATCCTTTGGTTGGGTCAACCAACCAAGTCAAGTGGTCAAGTGAAAAACCATTGGTGCTCGGCTGCTTGCATGTTGAGTGCAATTTTCTTGAAATAATAATAAGCTGGTGCTGGGTTCAGCTTACTTTCACTTTCTCGTTGGCCCAGTCCGCTGCTTTCTGGCCAAGTTATCCGTGTCTTTCGTGGGGTCTATTGAATTACTAAATTACAACCGGCTTTTGCAGCCCGACAAATTTGATAGGATTAGGTGTACTATATTGCAGCGGTGCTTTGAATATTTCAACCGGTCAATCCACACCGAAATTGAATAACGCTCGTCCTTACGCCGTAAGAAACTTACACGAAGAAAAAAGTATTAATTTTTGGTGGGAAACTATTGAAAAAGTTGGAATATAATACTTTTCATAAGAAATGTACCTATAATTGAACTTATACATTTCATTGAGCTAGTATCTTTTATTGGTTTATGGTACCTTTATTAACTTGTGGGTAGTATTAAACTATTGAAAAAGTTTTATAATCAAATAAAAGGATTGACCTCTTTTATTGCTTTTTGGTACCCTTCAATAAATTATTATCTTTTTTAATTAATTAAGAACCAATCATTAATTCTTAACGGTTCTTTTTCAATGTACAATATGTGGCCCACATTAAACCCACATTACATAAGCTTTAAATCCCCGATAGACCGAGTACGGCTGACCAAGCACTCCAAATCACGGCACCTTCGACAACTAATGGGGTCAGACGCGGCGTTAAAATACCTGAAATATGGAGCAAACTCACGAAGTAATCCCCCGAAAAACCCGAAACCGAAACTGAAACTAAAACTAAAGCCGAAGCTAACGTAATTGAGGCGTTAACTTTTGCGGGGGAGCAGTTAAACAGTCGAAATGTGAAAGGGATTGAGGGATTGGCCCACCCCAACACACTCCCACTCGCTTTCTCAATCAATAAAAGTCAAGAAAAGGGAACAACCCCACCGCCAAACATAATAAAACAAAACAAAAACAAAAGCCAGCGGCGGCAGGTGAAAGCCAAAGCAAATGTCAAACCGTTCTTATCAATTACAGAATCTGGACGACTATTTGTTTGGGGCGAGAACCACTATGGGCAGCTCGGGATTGGCGGCCATGGAGGAGGAGCCGGCGGCAAGAAGGGCGGCGGTGGCCACAACGGGGACATCGTCACCAAGCCCACCTGCGTGAAGGCCTTGAAAACGCTGGGAATAAAGATTTGCGACGCCGCCTTCGGCAATCACTGGGCCGTGATGCTGACACGTGAGTGAATCAACAAATATGTTGCAAGTTGGCCAACTCGGACAATGTGTCACCCAGGAAATTGGTCCCACAGAAAGTTTTAGCTACGGAAAAAGTTTACTGAATGGTAGCAATTTGGCAATTGTTTCGAAGCCTCAGTTTAGCTGGTTTTGTGTTTATTATTTCGGAGAACCCTTATACATAGTCGTATAAGGAAACATGTTATTAATTAACCAGCCATTGAAAAAGGGTTTGAATTAAAGTAACATTAAATTCATCAAACATTTTGTAATGAAATGTCTGTTTAAGTAGTACAAAGTTATCCAAGATCTAAATGACAAAAACTTAAACAGGTCATTTCATTAAAGTACTTTTAGAATTTTGAAGATTAATTACTTTAATTTAAACATTTAAAGCTTCCTTTTAAAGTACTCAACCGAAAGAATATAAGTTCCTAATAAACATTTTTAACACAAAGTAAATTTATGAAAATCCCTACTCATTATGCCCAACAAAACAACACCCACAGATTCCAACGAAATATTTTTTACGGGTCGCAACATCTTTCCCGAGGACACCCATGTGGCCCAGCACTTTACCAGCGCCCAAGTGGAGCAGCAGCAGTGCGCCATTATCCGGAAACCATTTCGGCTGGAGGAGTTCGACGATTACCTGTCCAAGAGCGAGGAGACAGACAACTTCATGGCAATTCAGGCGGGAAATGAGCACTTTGCCGTGCTGACCAGTAAGTAATCGCAGGAAATCGCATACAGACAGAAGATTATTTGGGTGATTTCTCTTTAAAAGGTACTGGTCGGTTGATTGGATGCGGTTCCAATGCCCAGCAGCAGCTGGGCGAACTGGAGGCGGACTACGATGGTCATCCGGTTGAGATTCGCCTAGATGCTCCAGTACAGCAGTTTGCCTGCGGGCCCGAGTCCACGCTGGTGCTGACTGCCAGCGGGAACCTCTTCCTCACCGGCCACCTCAACGAGTTCGTCTTTCCGCGCTTCACCGAGCTGCAGAAGAACCTGCCGCCCACCGAGGCCATCATCTTCATGCACATCTCGAAGACCAGCGAGGTGTATATCGTGACCAATGCGGGCAGCATCTATCGCAGCTTTGAGTCGGTGCGAAACAAGAGCCTGGTCTTCCAGCGCTTCTACGACTACGACAGCGAGGAGAACGGACCCATCTGGAAGCTCCTCAAGGGCTTCTCCTTCTACGCGGTCCTCAGCAAGGCCAACAAGTTCTTCACCACCTTCTCGGAGAGCGGCCATCATCTGAAGACCTTCCGCGAGATCTCAAAATTCAAGAACCTACGGCTGCTGGACATCGCAGTGGGGGATCAGCACGTCCTGGTGCAGGGCATTCCGCGCTCCTCGATGTCTTCGGCTTCTACAAGTGGTTCAGCTGAACCAAATCGCTATATGAGCCGCAGTTTCGTGCTGCAACCACCGGATGCAAATGGAAACGGAGAGCCAGGAGTCAGGAGTCACAGCGGCAGAAGTCTCACCAAACAAGAAGGCGTGGAGGAGACCGAGGAACGATCAATGGCGGCCACTGTGGGAGGATTGGCAGCAGCAGCAGGCGCTGGAACAGTCGCGGCCATGGAGGCAGTGAAGCATTTAATAAGTGGGGAAAAACCGGAAGAGAAAGATGAACCCAAGGATGTGAATACAAATACAGATAGTGGCGAGTCCATAGCTGATGAACATAAAGAGGCAAATGGTAATGATAAAAAGGATCCGCGACCAACCAGTTCTTCAAAAGAGGAACCGAATCAATTGGCCGATCCCGTTGCAAAAACTCCTAAGGATATAGATCAAAACATAGATCAGCAAGAAATCAAAGATCATCCAAGCACAGCAATCACAAGTGAAGCCATAAAGACAATGGATGAGTACAAAGCAATAGAGCCCACGGCACCTGTGCAGTCCCCAACAAAACCAGCGGAATCTAAGGAATCGCCAGTAAAACCAATGGAATCCCCTGTGAAACCACCAGATTTATCAGAAAAAGCTAAAGAATCTCCTATTAAATCAATGGCGTCCCCAGTCAAACCCATGGAATCAATGCAGAAGCTACCAACACCTCCCTCACACACACCCACACCTCCAAAATCACCCACAGAATCATTAAGATCCGAAAAATCTATGCACTCTATGCAATCATTTAATCCGCAGCCGAAAATGCCAGGCAGCCAGGAGAAGCTCTTGCGACCACGTACTCCTTATCCGGACAGCAGTGATTCCAGCACACCGCAAACAATTAAGAAGACCCCTATACGAAACTTTTCCTACGAAGCGGCTATGGATCATGATCATTTGGAGAGGACCTCGCCCGAATTGGTGTCTAGCCTGGAGACGGTGGAGGAGGTGCCGCCGGCCACAATCCAAGTGAGCACGCCCACGCCGCCCACCGAGGAGGATGAGCAGTTGGCCGTTGAGATTACCACGACGAACGACTCGAAGGACAGCAGCAAAGTGATCAACGAAATACGCTTCATCAACAATGGCGTGGATGTGACGGCCAAGGTGGAGGAACAAATGCCGGACACACCGCTGGAGAGCTCTGTGGAGGAACTGGAATCGGACGGAGAGCAAATTCTGCAGCATATGGAGGAGCATGTGGACAAAATAGTCACGAGTACCGAAGAGGCAGCGGCCAAGGCAGGCGAAGAAGCGTTGGACGCCATCGACTCCAGGCGTAACTCCATCCAAACGGCGGTTAGGAACGCAGCAAATGGAGCCCGTGATGCCATGGAGGCAGCCGGCGAGCGAATGGCCACAGGGGCTCGAGGAGCAGTGGATGCCGTTGGCGGTGCAGTGGGAGCGGCGGGAAAAGGTGCCCAGCGGATGGCTAGCGATGCCATGCACGCTGTAGAGCAGGCAGGCAGCAATGCGGTAAAAGCAGCCTCCGACACAAAGGATTCAATGGGCAGGGCCATGGACTCGGTGACGAGCAAGATCTCCAGTGAAGTACAGGGCGCCAAGGAGAATATCTCGTCTTTGTTTCAAATTAAGGCGGCCAGGGAGGCGGATCCGCAGACCACGCCAGTTTCAACACCTCGCGGGGATGATGACTTGTCCTCCAAGGAGGGGGCACCCAAGACGACCACCACTTTGGGTTCCAACGAGGAGGACGAGCGAACAACAGCCTCAGTGAACTCCAACCACAATTCCGCGGGACATGGCAATGGCAATGGGAATATTTTCGAGCCCAGCAATCCCTTTGAGGATCCCCTGGACGCGGTGGTGGAGCGCAGCAAGAAGGCCATGCAGGAGGACATCCGGGCCATGCAACTGCGGGCCAGTTCCCATGTCCAGGCGGTGGCCCAGCAAAAGGAGGAGGACGCCAAGGGATTCATGCAGCAGGTGATAGACAGGCTCTCGTGCCGCAACGAAAAGGCGGTCAGGATTGAAGGTACTTATTAATGATTGTACAAAGCAAGTAATTTCAGTCTGGGGACTCACCTGAATCCTATTTTCTTTCCGCAAAAAGATGATGTACGTCCGCCGGCTGTAGGAAATCACGGCAAAAACACAAACAAGGTGAACAGCGAGCTGAGCTTAACCAATGGACAGGCACATGGCGATCAGCCGCAGGCGTCGCGGGTCTGCACGATTTTATAAAACTCGCACCAGCGCCAGCACTTTTCTAAGCAATTGCATTTGGTCTTGAAGTACAATTTAACGAAAATAAAATAAAGCAAACGAAATTGCCATAAAAAAAGTTCTGCACCGGGCAGTGTGACCGTACTGTGGCGGGAGAAAAAAACCGAAATAAAACTAGGAAAACTTTGCACGTTCACGGGTGAATGTCATTTGTGGAACCAGTTCATTTCCCTTAGTGATGGCACACTAGGCAGTCACGACGGGTAACGGTGATTGTAAAATCGTAGTCTGCCTTCAAAATTGAGGTCGAATTAAAAGCTATTTTTATATCCTCAAATTTGGGAAAATAAATGAATAAAATATGATAAATATAAAAAAAAATAAATATTTACATTTATATTAATCGTAAGAGTTTTAATTTTTTTCATTTGATTTATCTTTTTTTTAAGCTTTGCTGCATAATAGCAGCCACTGTTCAACAAAATTTAAATTATTTAAATTCTACAAGCTTTGTCAAAGTGTATGTATTTTTTTGTCACTGTAAATTATTTCTTAATTAGTTATATTTTGTATTTATTTTTTAAATCGTAATTTAAATCTACAATACCTTTTACTCCAACATTTTTGTATTTATAAGAGCACAACTTTCACTCCAAGTCACGACCACCGATCGTGACTCCTCCGTCGCCCTCGTGACCAGTAACAGGTCCCCAAAACTATCGCCCATCCCCACTAGTTCATTCGCGTCTATTTTGTACGCGAAACAGTAAAAAAAGAAAAGAAATATTTGTACTATTTTTCTAACGTTTATACGCTTTTTATAAATGAAGACCCAGCCACAGATAATGCTGTGAGGCCCCGTTTTCGATTGGCGATAGCAAAGCGCGAACTCCCTGCCGACGGCCTATGTCCCCCAAAAAACGGAATCGAGTGCGGAAAATGATGTAAAACGGGGGGAAATCTAAACCTGAAAGGCCCCACACAGCACAGCCACAAAATGGAAAGGTAGGTCAATGTGTGGGAGCCCCAAAAGAGTTCAAGTGTCCGTCTCAGAATAGCCCCATTCGAAACGTAATCACCTGGTAATCCTGGGATTCCAAGGAGTGTGAAAAACAATGGACATTTCGAGCGGAGGGCTCCAAAATTAAAGTCTCCTAACCTCAAAAGAGCTTTTACACAGTACGGGTGTACGGGTGTGCGTGTGTGTGATTGCTCGAGTGTGTGTGTGCGACTGAAAGTGGTTGTGACTTATGGGCGAAGGGGGCAAGCGAGGGGGGTGATCCGAAGGCAACGTGTTAGTGGAAAAACTGCTTTTGAAAAAGGGAAAATCTTCCCCGAAAAGCCCGCCCAAAAAAGGTCAGTTCGTCAGCCAGGTGATCTCTGCTTGGATTCGATTGATTTCCAATTGGCAGAGTTATCGGAAACTTCTTTGGTCGCCTGGAAAACACATGTAATTTGCGAGAAAGTAACACGCTGTCAGTTCAATACAAAAAAGAGAGATACCTGAGTGCTCCATGTGTGTGTGTGTGAGTGTGTGAGTAGTGGGGTGGTGAACGGGGGGCGTACCAGGTAACCTGTCCGGCGGACGTAAAAACCAGCGATCGAAAAAGAGTTACATGCATGCAGGCAGCGCGCGCGTATTTATTTTGTTTTAAAATGCATAATCGAATGTTTTATAATTTATGCCCTTTATCGCGAGCAAGTCGAAGTTTATATGCCCTTCTCAGATAGACAACCTATTTGACCCGATCAATGATGCACATATGCGATTTAGTCGTACAATCTAGACCAAGTTCATAATGTTTCAAATCCGAATTTAGATGTAATTTGTTTTGTGTACGATTATACGATTACAAACCTTTAAAATTATCATTGCTCCGTGTTGGTACAATACGATTAAAAACACTCAATTTACATAACTTGGTTACAATCGTCAAATTTGTAAAACATTTCAAGTTGATCATATAAGATTCTACATTTTCTAATTTCTTATATTCTTTGTATCACACTTTAAGTATAAAGTGGATTGATCACCTATTAACCTGTACTTATAAAAAAGGTAGTTGGCGAGTTTCAAAGTTCCAAAGTTTTTAATTACGTTGTGCATTTCGAAGGCTGGGCGAGAGATGTGCACCGCCTTTATATATCCTTTCCCTATTGGCCCTGAAATGCGTTTCAATGCATTTTCATTATAGTGGTACAAAAAGAACCTAGGGAATGTGTGCAAAGAGGAGCTCAGTCAGCGAAGTGTGTCAGCTATTGAATAATTTAGATTTATAATTTCGCAGTTAGGTATTTCGTGTGTTTTTGGGAATTCCTCACATATTTTTGCATACCAAAAAGCCATGCCGCCGCCTCGACTAATCCCAATCTCCATTCTCCCTTCTCCCAACTAGGCACTAGCAACAACAACATCAGAGAAGCGACCAAGATGAGCATGTCGTGGCATTTTTGAAGCATCGATCTTAGTTTGTTAGCCAGCTTTCTGTTCAAGTCACCGAGGTACCAGAGTCTCCCCCTCCAAGTTCCAGCAGCTCCAGCATCCGAGTCCCCCCAGATCCCAGCGAGCAGTCCATGATGCATATCAAGAGCCTGCCCCATGCCCATGCCGCTGCCACTGCGATGAGCAGCAACTGCGACATAGTCATAGTGGCCGCCCAGCCCCAAACCACCATAGCGAATAATAACAATGAGACGGTCACCCAGGCCACTCATCCCCATCCCGCTCACATGGCGGCGGTCCAGCAGCAACAGCAGCAGCAGCAGCAGCAACAACAACAACAGCAGCAGCAGCAGCAGCAACAACAACATCATCAGCAGCAGCAGCAACAACAGCAGCAGTCGAGCGGTCCTCCCTCCTTGCCGCCCCCGCCCACGGAAATCCCCTTTCCCCTCCAGATGCACCTGAGCGGGATCTCGGCGGAGGCGCACAGTGCCGCCCAAGCAGCGGCCATGGCAGCTGCCCAGGCTGCAGCAGCTCAGGCCGCAGCGGCGGAGCAACAACAGCCGGCAGTGCCGCCTCCACCGCCACCACACCTGACGCACCTGACCACGCACAGTCCAACGACGATCCCCAGCGATCATTACCTCGCCAACGGACATGGCGAACATCCCGGCGAGGCCAGTGCCCCCGGGGGAGGCGGAGGCGGAGGAGGAGGAGCAGTCCGCGAGCCGGAGAAACCCTTCCACTGCACCGTCTGCGATCGTCGCTTCAGGCAGCTGAGCACACTGACCAACCACGTGAAGATCCACACTGGCGAGAAGCCCTACAAATGCAACGTTTGTGATAAGACCTTCCGTCAATCGTCGACGCTGACGAACCATTTGAAGATCCATACGGGCGAGAAGCCCTACAACTGCAACTACTGTCCCAAGCATTTCCGTCAGCTGAGCACTCTGGCCAACCATGTGAAGATCCACACGGGTGAGTGAAAAGCACTGTGGTTTCCCAGAGGTTTTCAAAAAATTAAGCCTCATCTACTTTGCAGGTGAAAAGCCGTTTGAGTGCGTCATCTGCAAGAAGCAGTTCCGGCAGTCCAGCACACTCAACAACCACATAAAGATCCACGTCATGGACAAGGTCTACGTTCCTGTTAAGATCAAAACGGAGGAGGAGGAAGGGTGACTAGGACGCATGGCGTTGGCGGCACACCACCATCAGCACCAGCAGCAGCAGCCACACCAGCAGCACCACCACCAACAGCAGCAGCATCAGCACCATCCACCGCCTCCGTCTCAGCAGCAGCACATCGACCAGCGAGGAGTCACCATTACCACGCTTCCCTCCGCCACGACAGTGGCCCAGCATCAGCAACAGCAGCAGCACCACATTCAGGACGGCTCGCCGCACCACCACTTCAATGTGGCCGCTCTGGGCGATCTGTCCAGCGCCATGCAACTGGGCGCCGTCACGGCGGACGGCAGCTTTGTGACGATGGGCGGCGTGGTGGTGGGACGCATCCAGCATACGCGCGAAGAGCTGCAGCAGCTGGGAGTGATCAAGGTGGAGTCACCATCGAATGGTGGCGCAGCCACGACGTCAGCGGCGGCGGCAACGCAGCGCGAGGGATGAGTCGATGAGCTGCTCCTCGAGTACATGCTCAAGGAGGAGAATGTGGATGAGGAGGATGAACAGGAGCCGGAAATGGAAATGGAAGCGGAGATGGATGTAGTGGAGAACCAGGAGCAGGATCAGGATCAGGAGCAGAAAGAGGAGCAGCGATCGAGCCAGAAGTGAGCCATGTTTGGTGTGTACGCTTACGTTGTTGTTAGTTGTTTAATTGTAGCGAACATTGTTGTTGTTGTTAAGGTTTAAATGTGTGACTAAGAACTTACCAAGATGAATGTATAGCAAACGCTTCAAAAGTAGCTAACCGAAAGGCGCCACCACCAGCACCCAGAGCTCCCAGAAAAAAAACCGCAAACCGTAAACAGAAATCCGAAACCAGAAACAGAAATATTAACACTAATAGTAAAGCTAATAGTAATACTAAAAACCAAGAAGAAGAAAGACCTTAACGGAGAGTTGTCCACATAACAACGCACCCCATCTCACATTCTCAGCCCCGGAAATAGATTAAACCACTCTCTACTCACTTAAATAATCCTAACCATAACTAGAAGAAAGCTAAATTGCTAATAGAAAAAAGATAACTAAACCCGAAATAAGCAAAAAGTCATTGCGTGTAAGGAAACAGAACTAAAATGCTTCACAAAGTGCGAACCCATTTCAAATTGTAAATTTGTTAAACCGACTCACTTTCAAATTGTTTAATTTAGCATTTAACGTTTAATATAAATTGTACGCATCTTGACTTAGTCAGGTGCCGACGTTTTTACTCGCCATCTTGTGAGGGCGTGTTTTGGTCTGGGTTAACACAAATACAATTTGTTTTAAAAATTCCTAGTTTAATTATTTAATTTCGTAAACTTTTCAACAAAACCATAAACAATACCCTGAACAGAAAACGGCA